TTTATATGGGCGATTTTGCTTGGAACGACCGATCGCCAAAATAAAAATCTGCCAACTTTTCCCGCTATACGGTATCTATATTAAAATCACTATATTCTATAGGTTTATTGTGATATGAGCAATGGAGGTGGATGGTCTGTATTTCAAAGGAGAATGGATGGTTCTGTTGACTTCTATCGCAACTGGACTGACTATGTTAAAGGATTTGGAGACCTCAACGGAGAGTTCTGGCTGGGACTTCATAAATTGAGCCGACTTGCTGATGCAAACAACTTGAACCTCCGTGTTGATTTGGAAGATTTTGATGGAAATAAGAAGTATGCTACTTATCATTTTCGAGTATTCGATGCATCTTTCGAGTACAAGCTGTTAGCGTTTGCATATGGAGGTGATGCTGGAGATGGTCTGAGCTATCATAATGGATTGAGGTTCTCTACCAAGGATCGAGACAATGACATCTGGGCCACAGGAAGCTGTGCAACAACTTATGGTGGAGCTTGGTGGTATAAAGACTGTTATACTTCAAACCTCAATGGTCTCTATTTGATTGGATATAACTCAACACAGAAAGGTGTCAATTGGCTTAAGTTCCCTACTAAGTACTACTCCCTAAAAACTAGTGAGATGAAAGTTAACCAGTATACGCCCACTGGAGAATGAACAATTCATTATCATTCATTAGTAGCAGTACACTGCAGTAGTTTAATATACATGTACATGTACATCTTCTATACATGCAGTGTAAAATATCTTAAATTTCAAGTTAACAGAAAAGTTTTTGATGATATCTTGAAATACTGCAAAAGGAAGGGGGGGGGGGGAAGGACTGAGTTTATTAATCTTTATCACTTGTTAAAATGTAACGGGATACCATACACGGTGCAAAATGGCAGCCAGTATAATTTCAAGAAAATTAAATCTACAAATAATTTTTTGGGGGAAAACTCATAAAATTTATAGCCCTTAAAAATTTTGTTCTAAACTGTACATTGTACAGAGTGACAATGACTAAAGCAATACTTTTTAAGCACAAAATTGTAATACATGTATGGGCACAGAATTTTAAAGATACCGTACAAGGTGATTTATTGGCAAGAGTAATATTGGGCAAATTTTCCTGTGGAAAGTTAATGGTAAATTTTATATTGGCAATTTTGTGCCACATGTCATTAAGCATGCTCAATTTTAAACAAAATGGCAGATTTCATATTGGCAATTTCTTCATAGAACTGCCAATCGCCAATATTAATTCCTCACCAATAAATCATCTTGTACAGTATTAATTTTATATAGCCACAAATTAACTAATCTGTGAAATTTTTAAATTTATAATACCACCACACCTTATAATCATCAAAGGCAAGTTTATACTATTACATTATGTTGCATTATTTGTGTGGGTGTATCAACCTTAAGACCCATTGGTTCCTACTATGTCTTGTGGTAGTATCTTGTGTAAGACGTTAAAAGAAGAAAACATTTTGTATAGTAGTCGTATGTACATGAACATGCATTAATTTAACTAACACTTTAAGACCAGTCCCAAACACATGCATAGTAAATATATGTATCATGTGACACTGTGTCATGTGTAATAGTGCAATATAATCTAATCATTAAGTATACCAGTAATGATTATAGTACAATAGTAGTCTAGTATAATGATAGTAAGTGAAAACAAAGACCTCTATTGTAATTGTAATAGTAATGAGATATTTTTACTTGAAATAGAAATGAGAACCACATACATCAGTGGTTTGCCTTTCCAGTCATTTTCTGTGAATTTTAAATTTGCTCAAAAATCAGGCTAAAGTCTCTGTATTATTATTATAGTACAGTGTCTTTGGACAAATTTTGCCAAAATGACAAAAAGAGAATTTTTTGTTTTACAATTGTTTCTGATACATATACATGTTCTTATGTTGTGTAGAAAGTTTGAGGTGATTCCGATCAAGTCTGGATTTTTATTATTAGTAACGTTACTAAGTAGGATTCGCCCCACTTCAAAATGGCTGCCAAGACTTTTGCAGCCTTGCTATA